TCAATTGCACCCAATGTCACTTGTACAAGTCGAGCCACATCCCGGTTTTTAAGGATCTTTGGACACCCAGGTTCATTGCAACGACGATTTATATCATTTGAGCTTTGCGGTCTTGCTGACACCACATTCACAAGCGGTCTCGGTACAAGGCATGCCTTAATCTAGAAGACATTCTACATCATTTTCTCTATCGATTGAAAGTTTAAGCTTTATTAAGGTCTCCAAATAAGCTACCCTTTATAGTCCCTCAAATGCTTAAAAAAAATCCCCTGTGATGGAGCGATCATGAAAATTTCGTACAAAGATTAAAATAACTTTGCAATAAGGGGATCACGTGCAAAATCGTTTCACTCGACTTAAAAAGCGATAAAGACTTTAATAAAAAAGCAATTCCTCTAATACAAACTACATTAAAAAGATCTCAATCTAAACTTACATATTATATAAGGGATCAATATAACCAATTATTAATTAAAGCGTTATAGAATTTTTCCAAAAAAAATTTAAAACAGAAAAAATTTTGAACGATACTGTATATAGGGTTAGATTCTTATAATATATGTGAGAAGTTTTTAAAATTGTACTCTGTTACTTCATAGCTTATTTTGATTGTTTTATTTTAAACAATAATTAGTAAATAACTATCCCTTAACGGATAAGCTGCTAAACTGTTAATTTATAAGTATAGATAGCTCAGTCTTAAGATTTTAACAGATTACAACCATGAGGAAACACATCTGTAACACTTGGTACTAAACCTTTCCATTTTCAAGCCCTTTACCCTCATAATAGCACGCTGAATTGTTAATTACTTTACTAGCATATATATATGGACTTGGTCAGCTACGGGAAAGCTTAAGTTTTGTTTATTTCTCTTTACTGTCGACCGTCTTCCCTTTCCTTTTGTTTCTTGGTCTTGTTCTGCCCTTGTTCTGGTTCTGAAACATAATTTTACTAATTATCTATGCTTATTCCTGGTTGCACAACGCCCTGCCATCTTCATAGAAGTAACTTCTTTTTGGTCGTTACAATATCTGTAGTAAATTCATTAGATTTTTAACAGTAGATTAGTTGTCTTTCCCCTTTTAGTTTATAATGGTTTGTGCCTCATTCTTAACTTTTATTTTAGTTTATATTTTTTCAATTCCTTGTTTGAGGGTTGCATTTTATTTCTTAAAGTGTATGTTAGTAGAATGTTCTCGAATGTTCTGAATGTTCCGAATGTCCGTAATTAACCTTAGAATGTTGGACCCCGCAAGAAGCCTTTTTTTTGTGTGCGTTAAAGCTTGCGGGAGGGTTGGCTTATGAGTGGTAGATGACTCAGTGCGTGTTCGTGTGTATACCTGGTGAGCAACGCAATAAAACTGTTGACATATAATTCTTGTTTCCCTTGGTTACCTTTTTAGGCGCTATAGCTGGACGCAACGCGAGAATAGTGAGAGTTTTAACTAGCAGAAAAAGGAATAAATATATAAAGCGACTGTATTTTGTTGCTTTTCTGTAATCTCAGGATTTATGATGTGCAAAGACTCAATTTAATTGTAATTTTGGTGTTAGATAATTTTTACACTTATGTCTTATTCAATGAGACTTGCTAAATTTTATCATATATTTTAAAAAAATCTACGCTTGGGTTTAAATTTTATTATCAACATATATATATATTAATGCTTGGGGTTTAAAGGATGGCTTTGCAATGTGTAATGTGTAATGAACCATTTTTTTGAGTTATAAACTTTATTAAGAAAAAGTTAAGAGCTGATTGCGTTAGTTCATAGGTTCGCAAGTACAGTCTTTTTCGCATTTTTTATAAAAATGTAGGAACTGAGCAGAAATTCCTGATTGTCAACAACAAGACCTGCTCTATAGGTTCAAATACTATAGCGGCTAAAATTTTTAATAGCTTTTACAACAGCTAAAATATTTGACTCTTCTGTAATAAATTGTTTTGTAGGTTATGTATATAATGGTAAAACGAAATAAACAGGTGGTTGAAAAATGGAAACTAAGAAAATATAATAAAATTAAGGTGGAGGTTAATATTACGCAAAAAAAATTTATTGTAGAAAAAGGGTGTGTTAAGTTTAAATCTGTATCAGATCGATAGAAAACAAACGCTAAGAAACGAGCACTAAAAAAAATAAAAACAATGTTTAAGATATTATATTTTTTTTTTGAGAAAGATTTAGTTTACTAATGGATTTTTCTTGGTTAAGAGGTTTATACCTAGTATAAGACGATAAAAACCTTGACTACAAGGTTTTTTAACTTACAATGGAACCCAAATACTTTTGATAAAAATAAAATTTGAGTTGATGAAGGAATGATTTAACCAGAGTGCGAAAACTATTAAAGTATAAATGTTTGTTTGTCTACAGAGATGGAAGTAGTTGTGAGAAAGTCTTAGTTAAAAAACCGTTGTTCTACGAGGACCTGTAGGATATATGAGATTATGGAAAAATTTGGAAGTGCCACGGGAATTTGGTTAAAAAGTATGTTGTTACTTAATGATTTATTTATTAAAAGAATCTTTTTACTATTTTAAATAACGCTAAAGGATTTTATTAAAGCTCTTTAAACGAGAAACTTTACAAGTTATTTTATAAAACAAAGTACAAGAAGCAAAATTATAGGAATAACTGGTAAAAACCTTTGCATTTGTAAGCGCTATAAAGAAGTTTTTTTTTTTAATATTATAAATAGATCGCTATTAAAATGCGTATTAAGAACACCTGACACAAAAATGTATTTAACGAAAACTTGCTATAGGGAATTGTCGTATGGCGTTTATTATAATGGTTGGCGAATACTTATAGAACGCACCTATCTCATTGCACTTAAAAACTGAAATTAATTACTTTCGTTGTTGCAGAAGTTGGTAAAAAGGCACGGAAGGCGTTTTTAAAAGATTTGACTAAGTAAATTTCTAAGTCACAACGTTCATTATTAAATTATGAAAAATAAGTAAAGTTATACAAGCTAAGCATGTAATGGAATTACGAGAAAAGAATGAAGGTAATTACAAATAGATAATAGATGACGGCACATTATGAGAAGCGCGTAGCTATTAAGAAGTATCCTGTAACGGAGACTATACATCACCTGTAAATGCTCAAAGTTATAAGACTTTATGAAGTTTGAGGAATATAATAAATATTCTTTATATAAACTAGCTGCTACGAACAAGAACGAATTTTCATGTGTTTGAGTTTCGCGTACAAGCGTTTCCAATAAAAGAGCTGCTAAGAGACATTGCAAACTTTTGGTATTTTTCCAAGGAATTTAATTTATTTGCGAACATACTTTTAAACCTTAAGACACCGTTATATTTACTTTAGGTCAAAGGCCCCACCCTTCAGAGAAAGTTAAACCTCTACTGCCAGCGAGACTAATTTAATAAATCTCCTTTTCCCTTTCTCTACCTATTTTTCATATAGTCCCTACAGTTAAATTCTAGAGAATGTAAGATCAGAAAATAGAAATTGTTAAAACTGAGTGGATTGTGATTATGTAAATTTTCTGCTTTGAGAAAGAGCAGAAACGATGAAAACACCCACGGACTCGGTTTAAAAAAACTGCCCGGCGAAAAATAGCTTTTAGCATTTATATGTTATAGGTAACGCCGCAAAATACTTTTTATGTTTTGTCATCAATTAATTTTACGTTGATGCTTCTTTTGCGGCAAGCTTCTTTACAAGTTAGGCAAAAAATGAACTTATTTTGACCTTACATTTAATACTTTTGAAAGGGGTGAAAGTCCTGCTAAAAGGTTTACTAGGTAAAGTTCAACAGCTAGCTTTAAAAAATCTTTATGTAATAACTTATAATTATATAGCTCTCGTACGGTTCAATAACTTTTTGGACAATATTGGCATCCACCAAACTTCTAAGTGCCCGTTTCCAATAAACACCAAAAACTAACATAATCTCTTGAAATGCCCCTAAAAGGTAGTCGCACACTAATGCTTATCCAAATTACCCTTAAAGCATGAGAAAAATTCGGAGAAAGACAAAAGAGCTGCGAGAAGAAATTAATTTTTAATTTTTTATATTGTGCCGGTGCTCGGTAGGCTTGATTTGGACTAAGGCGCGCCTCGTATAACCCTCGGAGTAATCATGTTCCGAATAGCAATGAGGTGTAGTGAGAAAGTTCGCTCCTGCCAAGGAAAAGATCCCGGCTCCCATTTATTTATTTATTAAAGTTTCTGGCACTCGACCGAGTAAAGGTTTATTTCTTATTTTAAAATTATGTACTTGTCTTTCGCCTTTGGCTTGAACTCCCGGCTAAGCATTAAGGCATTAAACTATAATTCAGGCTGAGTATATCGCCTCATTACTCGGAAAAGGGCCCATCTGCTAAAAGATGGTTAGGGTGTCCAACGGGGTAGGACGGGGGCGACCCGCGTATGAGAGTTGATGTGCAAAGACAGTCCACCCTTGTAGAGTACGAATAGCAGTGGTGGTAAAAATCGACTTTCAGTAAATGTGGGGCAACTATTAACATGTTAATGAGCACATGTAAAACTAAATAAGCAATAAATATAACCCGTGGTATATACACGCGTTATTTATTTAACACGTGCCTTGCCTACTTTAATTAAATACAGCGAACTTATAAATAAAAGCCTTTTCTATTTACATTCAGCAAAGCATATTAGAGCCCGTTTATAATATCCTGTAGCTCACCCGTTTCCACCAGTTGCTTAACCACGTCTACTCCGCCTACCAGCTGTCCTTTTACATAACTAAAAACAAAAAAAAATTGAGTTGAAAAATAGTGATAATGCAGAATATAAAAAAAGCAAACAGTTGGGGATAAGTAGGCCAGTTCGAGTACTCCTTAAGCCCTTGACGCACATGTTCATCGGATAATACATCAAAAGTTTCAAATTTGCCAATATCTATTAATAATAAACTTTTTAATAATTTTTTTAATTAAGCATAAAATAATAAACCCGTTAATAAAATAATAAAAAGATAAAAAAATGATAAAAAAACCGGGAATACTTAAGAAGATCAACCATCGTTTTACTAAAGCCACACTTTGGTTGGTCGGGCGTACCCTTAAATAAAGTTATTGACCAATGGCAACAGTTATAAATATAAGGCACGATCTACGCTACCTTCATGAAAAGTACGACTTTACTGGTTTGGATAAGATTTTTCAGCCTCGCGTGAAGGGCCTTAGCGCTTTCTTTATAACAAGAGGAAGGAAGTAGAGAAAAAAACTCCTTTGAAGCAATCAGCTCTTGAACAATATCAAGACCGCCCACCAAAACTAATAAAAAAAAAAAAAGAAATTTTGAAAATAATTTAAAAAAATTAATTTTTTATAGATTTTCATTTTACCGGTTTATGAAAATAATCAAAAAAATATTTCTCTAGAGTACATATAACAAAAAAAGAAGACCTCCTTTAACATACACTTGAGGATACGTGGGCCAATGAGAATGCTTTTTTAAACCTTTAAAAAAAAAAATTCAAAAAAACGGAAATTAAAATTATTATATAAAAGTTGACCTTCGCGGATATCATTATCAATTAATATATCAAAAGTTTCGTAAATGAGATTATACGAATCAAGAAGTTCAATTAACGCACGTGAAAATTTACAACGCGGGTCACTGGGCTTGCCTGTTTTTTATAAATTAATAAATTTTTAATCTAAAAAAATACTATTTGAACAACGAAATAAATTTATAAATTTAAATAAAAAGCAAAACTGAAGTTAAAATTAATTATAATAAAAATTAGAGCAAAATACAAAAAAGTAAATTTTGTAAACTAAGAAATAATCAACTTAAATAAATGTACAATAAAATTTTTTCAAATGACTTTCAAAAAATTATTTTTAAATAATAAAAAAATAAACGGTATAAACCGATCGCAAACATTTTACAATTATAAAAAAGATTATAAAGTTAAACTACTTAAACAGTTAATGTACAAAAGATGAAATTAAAATTCTTGATAAATTGATTGCTGTATAAAATAAGTTTTAGAAAATTAAGACTAAAATGATCATTTTATAAAATTAAAATCAAAAATCCAAAAAATTTAAAATTAAATTCTAAAAAATTAAGTTCCAGGAATGAAATTAATAATAATAATAAAGCAAAAAATTACAATGTTAACTTCATAATTAAAAAATCAGACCTGTTTAATTTAATTATATATTAAAAGAAGAAAAAAAAGTTACCCTTCATAAAAATCATTAAAGGAGAAGAATTAATTAATCGAAACATGCGAGCAGTCAAAGGAATCTCAGAATCAAGATTGTTCAAGATTTTAGAATTTTCTTGTTTATCAAAAGCACTCAACGAAGAAACTTTCTCGCTAAGATCAATAATGTCAACACCAATCACCTTTTTTTTTTAAATAATAAAATTAATTAGATTAAAAAAGTTATGTTTCAATAATACTCGAGAAAAAACGATCCCATCTTTAAATAATATTATTGTAGGGATTTCAGTAACCGAGTACTCGTTACAAAGATCAGAATTGTCTTGAGCATTCACCTAATTAAGTCAGAAAAAAAATTACTGCTTAAGTTCAATTAAATTTGAAATATTATAATTAAAAAGTTTTGCATAGACTTTATAGTTATAGTGCAAAAAAGTCCTCTTCCGCTTCGTTGAAAATCAGCAACTTAATAATAGCAATAGTAGGAAGAAAACTAAAGTTTTTTCTGTAGTTTTTTATTTATTTATAAGGTAGTTAAACATTTAAAATTACAAGGCGATAATAGCAATTTTCGAATAAATCATACACCTTTTACTTCGAGTCTTAACCTCTAAAGTAAAAAGGAAAACCAACTTTTTTAAAATTTATGTTATTTCCAATAACAATATTATGCCCTACAACTCTACCACATATGAATATTCACGTTCAAAAAATTCTAGTAAATAGTGTGTTAAGAAGAAAAAAATAAACAATAAAAATTTACTTTTAGAAAATTAATATTAGCATAAATGTTGTTCAACTCAGATAAAACTTCAATTATATGAGAATCATAAGGTGAACCAGGAATTGTGAAAAGTAAAACCTTTTAAAATATTTGTTAAAACAACCACTAAAGATTTTATATCTATTGATGCAAGTACCGATAAAGGTTTCTCCTGATTCTTTAAATAAGTTAATAAATCATGTTTGTGTTGGATTGGGATGATAAACTTTTGGTCTTCCTTACTTAACAGCATCGTGGCCGTGAATAAGAAAAAGAGGCTTAACGAAAACTTATATATCTTTTAAAAGAAGCGTTTAAGAGCGTGCAAAGATAATTAATCTAATAATTAATAAAGTAAAGAAAATTATAATAAAGTGTACTGAATAATTTAGTAAGAGCTTGTATAAGAATGAAAATACTATTACTTAGAAGTTGAGTAAAAAAAAGACTATATATTTGGGACATCAGAAGCGAGGCAAATGGTTTATAATTATTTTACCTTTATGTGTTAGGGTTATTAAGGTTCCTAAGAGAAAATGATATATATATCGGTAATGGCTCGCGCACGACCTTTTTTTTTTATGATTTGTGGTTTATGCCGATGAGTGTTGCGCTCTAAATTTATTAATTAATTATTACCGTGCGCAGTGATAATACGAAGTTGACCAATAAAAGTAGAATTTAGAAGTTTTATTATTGTATGAAGTACAACAGCCTCTAACGTATTGGCCGCCCCCTCAGTTGGATCGTCGTTCCCTGGTACCGGAGAACGTCTCCAGTTTACCGCTTAAAAAACAGCTTTTGGAAACATTAGCTCCAGTACACAACTTATCTTTTCTTTAATGGGTCTGGGCTCCCCACTGCTCCAAGAGGCATCGATATCATAAAATTTAGCCGGTTTAATGACTTCATTAAATTATTCTAGTTGTCGTGGGATGTCCGGGGGCGTACATACTTTAATAGTCACCCAAAGTATTCATGATTTTTCTCATTAAATCAACTTCCGCTCTCAAAGCCTTCAACTCTTCAGTGAATTTTTCCATCATGCCTTTTTGCTTTTTGAAAGAGCCAGAAGCATTTTTTCCGAGTTCCTACA